CCTTTACCTTAAATTCTTTTATTTTGTCTAGTCCTTCGGCGTCTCCTTCCATGTTTCCATTTAAAATATGCCAGCCATTGTTTTCTACCGCTTCCAGTAGGATCTCTCTCTCTCTATCACATACCTTGTCCTTCGAACTCCTTTTCCTATCTTCTCCTTCATAGATCCCGCCTTTTTCCCCGGTTCTTGCGATGAAGTCCCCCCCTAACAGCATTCTAGTGTTTCCCTCCTCTTCTTGTATTGCTTCTATTTGTTTTAACACATCTTGCGCGGGTGCTTTGCCGCCAAACTCTCACCGGCTAGCGGGCGATTTTTTACAATTCGTACGCAAAATTACTTCTGCACAAAATAGCTGTAGTTTTTGAACTTTAGGTTTTTTTAATGTAAAACTTTTAGTTTCTCTTTAAAAATCAATTTCTTTATTCCCTTTAAAAAAATAAAAATACCTTGTAAGAAAATCAAGAATTTAAAAATGTTTTAAAGTGTGATATCGTTCAAAGCACTTTCCTTTGTGCAAGGGTACATTACAAAATTTATACCTATACCGCGTTACACTGTGTATTTTCTTAACGGAGCACACCTCGACATTGTTGTAAAGTATTTTTCTTTTTTCCAGTTCCCACGATGGGTTCTAATGTATGTTTCCTCATGTCCATAGAAAGTCTCCCTGGAGGGTCGTCCTTTGCAGCTTTTTTTTCTAATGCCGGATGTTGATGGTATTGGTTCTTCTGAGTCTTGATCAGCTTCTGGTGGAATTTCATCAGTAAGCCAATGGACAGCTATGAGTTTCAAAAAATTTTTGTACCTTATTTTTTTTTCCTTCACGGAATTATAAACAACAAATGAGTTCAATAATGCGCAATTTATAAGGTACATAGCAACTTTTTTTGTCCATTTGGTTGTTTGTCTTAGAATGGAGTAATATGATAGATATTGGTCAGCCCGATCAACGCCTTTCATATACTTATTATAGTCAATCAGCGCGTTAGGTTTCACTATTTTTTCCCTCGTGTTTCTATCAATATTATGACTTTCTTCCATTTTAGATGAATGTATTGTCGATATGAGAGACACTGTTTTCTTTGATTGCCATACTTGTACTAAAATGTCTCGTTTTCTTCTGAAGGCCATTTCTTCTCTTTTCAATGAAATGGTTTTTAGGCAATCCGGAAGTCCTCTGTTTTTTCGAATAGTGCCGCAAATTCTAATTTTATTTTGTAATAGCTTTTCAGTATTTTCCACGCTGTTGTAATAGTTATCCATGTAGATATGGTGCCACAAGTCTGTATAAGGTGATACAACCGTTTCAATTGTTTCTATCAATCGCTTTCCTTGAGCACAATATATTTCGAAATGACACATGTAGCCTGTAGTACTTTCGCACAGTATACGAACTAGAATTCCATATTTTACAATCTTGCGTGCGGTGTGTACAAAGTATCGGAATTTCCTCGGAAAGCTAAATTATGTTGCGCCAAATATAAAATAACAGCAGTTATTCTTTGGAAAACTTGTTCGTATTGTGCCGTTTCAAGTCTTAAAAATTTTTCGCACTCTTTATCAAGTAGATTGCCAGTGCGAAAATTTTGTTCAGTTTGAAACCACTTGTTTATAGCTCGTAAATGTACCGCAGATCGTTCGTGCATTTTGATTCGCTGTGTTAAATGAGACCAATCGCAAAATCCGTCTGCCCCCAATGAAATATCAGTAGTGGAAAATAATTTACAAGCGAAACAGTAAACCTTATCTTTAGATTTAGAATAAACTAGCCATCTTCGTGTTACGGGTTACGCTTGTTGTGTCTTCACACGGAGCGTAATATTGGTTTGGGTTTGTGGATCGGTCAAAACGTTCACCGTATGAGGGTGATACGTTGTTGACAACAAATCCGATAGGATTGGAACCTTCGGCGTATGTGGTTAATACGCCGTTCTCCGAAGGATGGAAAAGGTTGGAGGTTCAAGGTGTATGGTTAACACGTCGTTGACAAGGTTTGTGGTAGACCGGTCAGAACATTCAACGTATGTGGTTAATACGTCGTTCTCCAACAAGTCCGATAGGATTGGAACCTTCGGCGTATGTGGTTAATACGCCGTTCTCCGAAGAATGGAAAAGGTTTGGTGGTTGTGAGGACAGTACGTATCGTAATGTCGGATATACCTGGAGCGGTAAAGATATATCCTTTGTGAGTTTAACTATTTCGTTACTAATGTTACAAGGAGATGGTCAATTGAATATAGGCTGAAGCAATTCTATAGTAACTATATTCTAATAATATTCAAGGAGTTTACAATAAGTTTACAATGGTTTAAAGATAAATTATAATGGTTGATTCTTGGCTGAGCAAGAATCTTCCTTCTCGACTTTACACGGTGAGTACGCGGGGACGTCTCTACTTTAACGTTCAGGGTAACTCTGAACTGTGACTGCCCCAGAGCCTCGAAAATCATGCCCTTATATACCCAAAAATCTGTATTTTTTGGGTGGTGGGGGCCCTAATTTTCCCATGAGAACGAAGCGCGTTCGTTTACTTTATCTCAAGGGAGTGAGCTCTAGGGCTGTCTCGGCGCCGCCGCGTCGGCTAGTATGCGTATATACGTAACAGCCATCTTCGTGTTGTTCTTTGTCCATTCGTCAGTATTCTTGTAAAATATGTTGCAGAAAAACTCCTGTTATTTTCGTTCTTAGGGAACTTAAATTGAGTAACTTGTACAGGACCATGCTGAACTATTAAATTTACTGTTTGTTGTGTTCTGTCAATTGGCCACGTGCTAGGATCTTCAATGTCGAAATTTCTGTTTTCTTCTTTTTGTGCTTCAATTTCCATATTTTCAATATCTTTTTCTTGATGAGTTTCACAATCGCTCGTTTTTCTATTGTTTCCATTTTCGTCCAATTCAGTTTCGTTGGTGTCTTCTTCATTTTCCTTCACAGGTGTATTCAACTCTTGGTTTTCCTCTTCCAAAGGGATCTGATTCATTGCCGTATGTTCTTCACCTTCGTTTGGCTGTCTTGAATGACTAGTAGTTTCAATTACATACTTCAAAATGTTGTTTGTTTGCTGTTTAATATAATCGTCTCGCTGCTTCTTCCGTTTCAGTTTTTCAGCTCCACTTAAGTATTTCCGTCCACTATCTCTATCCCTGCTAGCCATAGCGGTTCTTAAAGAAACCTATTTCTGTATATAAAATTTTGTCTGTTACAAAAATGAATAAAATCGCGTGCCAAAAAACATTTACTGCAATCTAGGATAAACTACATATTTCATTAGTTTGTATATAGTTGAAACATTTCTCTGTTCTTGCTCACTTTATCGAAATTTTAACATTTGGGGCGAAATTAATTTAATAACAACGAATTCAAATTCTCAACTAGTTATATGTATTGGATTTCATTTGTATGACTGCCATACGATTTTTCTGCGACGCGATTTTAGTTAGGGTTGATTTTAACTTAAAAGAGGGGAAATAATTGAAAAAAAATACTTACCAAAAATCAAACGTTTTGAAAATGTATATGTCACGGTTTGTACCACAATATAACTTTGAAAAATATTCGTCGTCTTAAATTTACCGCAACGTAACGATCACAGTCCTTACCACGCGTCGAGAGATTGACTAACGCTCAGCATCGAAGACCGTAGCAGTGCAATAGCCTGATGCGTTTTTGTTTAAAACATATGAACCGCAAGACGGCAACTGACACACAACCACTAATAAATGTCAGGCGTTGCTATGCCCAGTTCCTATGCAAGTTCGTAGGAGCTGCGACTCGTCGACAGATTTCCAAAAATTGGGGAGTCTTATCTCTATTTTTTTAAGCAGTTTTTTAAACAAATCCAAGTAATATTTTTTCGCATCCATAATTCGCTTTCAAGGGGCAAAAAATTCAATGAAAGTACAAAATCTGTAATCATGTATGACTTTTGCAAAAAACTATTGATGTAGTTTAATTTCTCTAAGAAGTACATTTCTCTGAAAGCGCCTGGATTTTTTTATCTAAAGTAGTTTTCAGGATATGAGGACTTTATGGAGTTACACTGAACTTTGATGATTTTTGTCACTCCTTTAAACTGAATCATTGCTATTAAAAAAATGTCTTGCATCTGTTAATGCATCAATTTGCATTTATTTGACATATTTTTCGATATGATAGAAAATTAAAAATTTTTCACAACAACGGTAGTGGAAGATTTTTTATTTAAAAAAAGAATATTCATTAATTTAATAGCACAGTCTTATAAGGCATAAAAAGCCATTTAATTTTTATTATAAACATTTTTTTATATCTACTATAGTTTTAAAGATATACAGGGAAATAGGGTACACTTATCTTCATTCAAGGGCTGTTTTCACCCCGAAGAACCGAAATTGGGCCGATAAAAAAGATTGCCCGATACTTCTCTCGAGGTCCTCTATAAACCCACAAAGTTTCAAAAAAATCGGGCATTTCGGGTTATCGAAGTTCCCTTGTAAGCATCGAATCATTGATTCAGAAGGCGGATTTCGCACGTTAAAATGTCGACGATAGGCTCTTTGAGTCTGTATTACTGAGCGATGGTTTTCAAAATAAAACTCTATAATTTTGGTTCGCTGAATAACGCTGTAACCTTCCATAATAAATTTCCCAGATGTACTTTGGAAGTACTGGAAAGAAAAAAAAGAAAAAATTAAATTTAAAGAAATTATAAATACACCTATCCCCCGATTTACACGAAAGGTCGGTTCCTCAGAATACCGTGTAAATCGAAATCATGGCTTTTTGTATGAAAAACCGTGTAAATCGAAAAAAAAAAAATAAAATGGGCACAATTTAGTCAGTTATTTAATTAAATTCATTTATTTCAACGTAAAATAAAA